CTGTAGTGCCTGTTGGTGCTTGGCGTGTTCATGTACTATAACAGCTAATAATAACTTGACAAGGAGGGATATTATCCTCAGATTTGAAGTATTCGCAAGTAAGGTAATCAAAGAAGAATTTAAACGACTCCTTACTCTCTGAGGGGCAATAGCTAAACGTTACAGGGAAGGTTGACCTTGAATTCGTTATATTAACAGCAGCAAGGAGAGGGAGGCGAAGTTTATTTGTATTAAAGATACCATTAATAATAAGAACTTGATTAGCGACAAATTTTTGAGCTGTAAGAAACTGTTTTAGATAAGCAAACCAGATTTGAGTAAGTCGCTAAGCTATTAGTTTGCCCTTAGTGCTATATTTGGTATTAATGTATTAATAATAAATGAATTTAGCATTATTAAGAGCTTTAAGGAGGCCTTAAATCGACTCAAAATCTCTCTTATCTGCAGGCTAATTTCGAATAAGATTATAATACTTTTTAGTACTCAAAAAAACACTAAAATCCTTACTCTCAAGGATCTGATAGCTCTTAGAGTAAGGTATAATATTCTTATAGTACTTTTAAGCAAGAGTAACAAGTTGATAATACTTAGAGAGCAGATTCTGGTTCTCTATGTAAATCAAAGGATTCTCTACAAGGTAATAAGAATAAGATAGCTCTAGAGCAACAAGGCAAAAGCCCTTAACGCCAGAGCCACGCTTGCCGTAAGGTATAATATTCTTATAGTACTTTTAAGCAAGAGTAACAAGTTGATAATACTTAGAGAGCAGATTCTGGTTCTCTATGTAAATCAAAGGATTCTCTACAAGGTAATAAGAATAAGATAGCTCTAGAGCAACAAGGCAAAAGCCCTTAACGCTAGAGCTGCGCTTGCTAACGTTCTTAAAGGAACAAAATACGTACCAAATATACCCTTTTTGCTTTATATACGTTGCATCTCGCTACCGGTTACTGATTATCTTGCCCTCAGGATCCTTCTGCGTTCGATGCTCCAGCTCTCTGTAATTTCGAGTCTCCTCATCATGATGAATGCACCGAAAACGCCTACAAGGGTTTCTAAGGTCTCCATAGCCTCGAATCGTTATAGCAAAGCCCTCCGCTATAGCGAATATATTCAAACGCTCCTGGCACTGTTCAAAAGAGTCGAAAACTTCACCTTTGGGAGCAGGAGGAAGGCGCCAGGCAGGGTCTCTATCATTAACGAAGCTCTTAATAGCATCACGGAGGTGCACAGGGCACCCAGCCTTTGCTTGCCAGGGCAGAGCCATTGCAGAGACTCAACACCAAGATATCTATATCAATGCCTATCTGAGAAGCAACAGCAGCATCAAATCACACAAATGGTGGTGATAGAAAGATTTTCAGGAACACTACATACAAATTACTATGGTACGGTCACATTTAGGCCGCTCGGCGTGCCGGAACGCCGATATGCCGAATCCGCAGAAATCGAATCTGGCTGTCGAATCTGGCTGCCCCGAGACAACCCCCAATTAATACTCAGCCAGATATCCTGAAGGGGGAAAGGTCGAAGAGCAAACCGGCGGCACAGCAGCTGCTGCAGGGGCTAGAACATCGCTTGATGATGCTTCCTCCTTTTGTTGCCGAGATGCGTCCCATGGCCTAGAGATAGTTGCTGTAGGTCGGAACTCGACCGAGGAGGGACTTGGAGCACCCAGAGCGGTAGTCAAGCAACGCCTACTGTTGGAAAGAATCCGCTTGAGCAGGCTGCAAGCGATGGTGGCCTATTGTTCCAGTTGATGTTGACTTGGCCTTGTGATTGCATTGTGTGAGTCGTGACGATCTGCTAGGGAGTACCTTAGCTGTGTCGACGCCATTCTGGCTTTCACCAGAGGCCACTGATCGAGGTGGCGGTAGCAGGAGGACACATTAACCACTCCACCAAAAGGAAAGCGCTAACTAGTGGGTTTCGAAGCGTACTTAGTCGATGTATCCTCACTGACAGCTGTCGCTCCTGGAGCAGGGCTCAATGTGGAAGAACATTCCTCCACGGCTTCGAGCCGAGCCCAAAAGAGTCCAATAACTGCTTGCCGCCTGAAGCGAGTTCCTCGAGTAGTTGCGGGGGCAAACATTAGTGCGTAAAGGCAGTTAAAGGCGGCAAGGGGTCATTCGACCGTCCACCTGGAAGCCTCAGCTCTCCGGTTGAGGCTCCATTCCACGCTGCTCCCTTACTTGTAATCACAATGGTGTTCAGATAGCAGGAGCACTTCAAGCCCTGCTTGCGGGAGGCTTCAATCATAAAGATGAATGCAAAGCAGGCCTTCGGTGAGTCGCTTTCACTCCATCAATTCATCCCAAAATCTCCTTCTCGTAGTGCAAGATGCTCCGAAGACATACACTGATAAGAACGCTGCTAGTTCCCAAGAGCAGGAAGGTTGGTATGAAACTTCTTCATTTCTCCGAGCACAGCTGATGATGTCGCGTTCAGCCAAAGTTCGAACTCACCTTACGGGTACGCAAACCCCCACCACATACCATGATCCTGCCTCGAATGTCTGACCAAAAATAATCCAGATCATAGACCTCAACAATGTTCCCCTAATCTGCGGCACCTCCTATGTGAAATGGCACCTCCCGTCCTCCTCGTCCGCCGAACACCGAGGCCACACCTCCAAAGCGCTGATCCGTGACCACAAAGCCGTGTATGACTACCACAAAGTCCTACCTGTCCGGTTGACCATCGATAAGCATTTCATGCTGCACGAATGCGACGTTCATTTCGAGGTATTACAGGAGTATAGTGAGGGAGGAAGAGGGGGGAGGGTGTTGTTAGGGAGCGTAAGGATCAACCTGGCGGAGTACGTGGATGATAGCAGTGTCAGAGGACGAGGAAGGAAAAGCGAAGACGGCGTAGGCGGAGATGGGGGTGGAGAGATTGTGAGAAGATATCTCATGCAGGAAAGCAAGATTAACAGTACACTGAAGATTGGCATCAAGATGTCGCAGTTGGAGGGGGAGACGAATTTCACGGCGCCGACGTTGAAGACGGCGAGGGTGTTTGGGGGCATTGCTGGCGTCATGTCGACGGAAGTGGGCGATGGTGGTGTTGATGACGCGGGTGGACATATGCCAAGCATCACGAGCAAGACGAGGGAGACGTCTGAACTGCAGGATATGTATCGACGAACTTTAGCCGCGAGCTGGTCGTGTGGGTCTGATGAGCTGCCGCCGGACAAGCTGATTGAGGATCTCTTTGCGGGTGGGGATGGTGGCACAATGAAACCGCCACCACCGGTTGTCAAGTCCCGATTCAGTAGTCCTTCTTCGAACCAAGGGAGTCCCAGGCAGGATGATGAGAATGGCGGAGACAGCGCAAATGTGAGCGAGTCCGATTCGAAGCGGACCGTTAGAAACCAATTCCTGACCCCTGACATGGCAAGGAGAAAGCCAGAGTATGGCAAGACAGACGGCAGTAACGGGGGATGGAAGTCATCAAGAAGTGTGAGCAATGCTGCTGGGGCCAGTCCGACCCTATCGACACTGTCCGGAATTAGCGGCAGAGAGAGCATTGAGCAGCAGATGCATCTTGGTAATAAAGACAGGAGAAGGAAAGGCCAAAGAAGTACCAGAGAGGTATCTGAGTTCGACATCCGGGAAGACCTTAGGAGCTGGAAGATTGAGGCAAGATGAGTGGATCCTGAACGATCTCAATCTTCATGGAAAAGAAAAGGAAAGGAAACTGTTCGAAAAGATTCTATTTGATGGCAATTCTCAATGCGAGATGTGTGCGGAGTTCTAATTATCTGAAAGCAAAAGAATGGGGTCGAAGCCGATTTGGCTTGAAGCTGCCAGTTCTTCCATCTGGTCCCGAGGACCCTTCGGTATCTCAATCGCGGAGGCCAAGCACCCCCAACTCAGCCAGCCCATCAAACCGGAGGAGCCATAAATGAAAGCAATGCTATAGCCATCCGTGCTCGTTTGTCATCCCTTCTGGCAATTTCGTTTCCAAGCACTACCGACGAGAAACACATGTCCATAAAGGAATCCACCGATGGTCAAATTTCCCAAGCTTGCTGAAAAGAAATCCTCCCACAATTTGTTTATCGTTCTCCCTCACCCTGGTCAGCGATCACGACCCATGCCAGGCTCTCAGATGGTCCAAACACTTCTGCTTACTGGGAAAGGGCGGGCGGTCTCTACACTCGGAGCGCGGACACTTGGTATGATCGTAGTCGAAGCAGTGGTTCCGCCAATCCGCGAAGCAGGTCAAGTGCTGTGGGCAATGCCGTGGGTTCCTGTGTCGGTGAAGTTCTAGTTCGGCCTCAGAGTGGAATTTGCGCAGGCAGTCACGGCATTGTGGGGTCGGGATGTATTTGACGGCTTGAACGCGGTTGTGACGGGGGTGATGGCGATGTTCTTTTGGCCAAAATTCTACTTCTTTGTAGTAGCAGACGTATTTGGGTACCGTTGGGCGGACGTTGTGGTGATGGTGGTGGTGATGGTGGGCAGCACAATGGTGATGGTGAGGTATCCTGAGTTCTTCGTCTACAAAGTGGACGTGCTTGTGCGGGACTTCGTAGTAGATTTGAGGCATCTTGAGCAGAAAATGAATTGTATTTGGTTATGGCGGAGAGTCAATTAAAGTTGATAGTGGGTGAAAATGGGATTTAAAGGAGCGTGGGTGAGAAGAGAAGAAGTGTTCTTAAACGAAGAAAGTCTTTGCTGTTTTATGGGAGCAAAGGGGGTTGGAAGAGAACATTTGAGACGCAGGACCTACCTCTTTATACTTTCTGCCTGAGCAAACATGGCCATTGTAAGTATGTGGCATGGATACGGGAAAAACGTGTCGGCTGTGAGTAGTACAAGGAGGCTCATCCTCCAGGCTGAAGCGCGCCACAGTTGTACAAAGATAGCACGCCTTACCATGTCAGCCTTGCGGGTCAAGGTTGCAAAAAGATATGGTGGAGTGCATGCAGCCCCTCCAATTTATGCTCCACTACGTGCCAAGAAGAGCTCTTCCTTTTGCACGGAACTTCGCTTCAAAGAGGCAGTGCAGTTAAAGAGGATGGCCTGTGGCTTTCGCACCTGATGCCGCGCCTCCATCTTCACGGATAAACATGATATCCGGATGACCCGCAGTGAATACAAGCTCAGATGCATGGCATTCCTTCGCAAGCCATGCAAGCCACCAGATTCTAGCTTCTGCAAAATGATCCCGCTGCCGACGGGCATCTTATTGCGCAACCAAGACGGAGCAATAGGCGAAGCGATGTCCCGGGCCTGTGGTCAATACGATTGGGGGCTTCTCCAGAGATATTCCGTAAACATAGAGGAATAAAGGTTGCTTCTAGCTTTGAAGTCATCTCTACACAGCTAGCAGAAGAAAGAGTCTCTGTATCCCTGTCACTGAATGCGGCTCCTTGATGACAGTAGCGTTCCCGTGAATGTAACTTCGTAAATGGATTGAATTTGTTAACTCCGACTGCTGCAGCCTTGGCAAAAAGAACACCAAAGAACTCAATTGATCTTTGTATACTTTATTCTTGTATTACTCTTAATATTAGACCTGTTACATTAAGAATAGTATCATTCAATAGGTCTTAGATTCTGATCAGTTCTAAGCTTTATATTTCAAGGAAATAAATCACGAGGTAGCGAAATACTGCGTACTTGATACTATTAACTTAGAAAAGTTTTGACTTTCCTTCTGCCAAGATTGCACCAATTTTATGACGCTACTAGTAGATCATGGGAACGCTACTCTCAATACGGAAGGAGCGACATTCAGTGACACAAGAGATACAACCAGACCTTTGTCACAGTAAGCTGAAGAGCCCTGCTGAGGGCCTTGCATGTACCGTCGTGTACGGTGAAACCAACTTTCGGGGATCGGACCCCATGGACAACGTGGTTCGATACCCTAGGCTTGATGCATCTGCGTGCACTGTCCCAACGCCTAGCACACAAATCTGAAGACGAGGAGCGTGGCAAAATGTACAAGAGACTTTCAAACTTTTCCTGCATGAGGTCATCAACTCAAAATATCATAAATTCGTATTTCTAAGACACTTTCCAACCAAAAAGTGCTGGCATACTTAGTACCTTCTAAGCAGTGCCAAGCATAACCATCTGTAATACACTCAAATGGCATTTATCTCACACCAGATTCCGGACCCGTTCGGCGTGCTGCAAGTATTGTCTGTGGGGGTCGTGCTCTTGACTGCTGCGAGCATCTGTCGAAATGCTTGTCATCACCACGATGTTATCGTCCGAAGTCGGAAAATGGTGACTGTTCGTGGCCCGGGTACTGCCGATACCGGATGCTATGTCATTATAGTTGCTGTTATTCCGTCGCGTGGTCCATGTGCCCAACATTGCGCGTCTAAACCAGGAACGCTGGGTGTTCATTCCGTCACCAGCGGTATTGCGTATGAAGTTGCCGTTTCCATCAACACCGTGCAGGATCCGAGTCTCGAGATGAGGCTTGTCGCTTGCTTTCGGAACCTGCGTAGAGCCCTCCACAACTTCGCGGCTGGAAGCCTTGGAGCTGAACGAAAGGCGCGAAAGGAGAGATCTGATGAAAGCGATATTAAAAAAGTTGATGACTCGGTTAATGATGGCGGGCTGGATGACAGGCATACAACCGACCATAATGCCAACGTTGATTTCCACGATTGAGATCAGCAATACCGGGGCGGTCGCATAGGTAAGATCGAGTGTTTGCGTGAGAATGACTCGAAAATACGAATTAACGATCGCGCAAGCACATGCTCTACGCGAGCACAATAGCAGGTCAGTTTTGTGGAGCAGAAAAGGTGATAGGTTGAGGAGAACTTACAGAATACCTAGCATAAATATTGCAGAGACTCTGATCTTCTTCTCTGTTGTCATGTTCAGTTTAATGATTGCGGGTATAGGGATGATGACTAAATAGAAGTCCGAAAGAACGTTGAAGGCTGTAGTAACGTAGCCGTAGATGATCACCCTTACACATCTTTCTGATGCAAGTCCAACAAGGCGAGTCTCCCCGGGCCAGGGACTACAGCTGATCAAGGCAAAGAGCATTCCGAATGTGTAGAAGATGGAGCAAGCTAGTATTCCAATCCACGTGAGGATTTTGGTGCCCTTGTTCCTTTCAAAGAGGCGTAGATAGAGAATAAGGATGGACAACTTCGCCATCAAGACTATGAGGGGGTACGATGCTGCGTTGAAGAGAGTCATCTAATATTGCCACTTCTGGTAAGACTCACACAACAATGTGTACAGCTTAAGCGGACAGAGACTTACCTGAAGGAAGATATCTGATACCAGTGTACTAACCCGCACATTCCATTCATGGACACCGAAACCATTGTGTATCGTACCTGGGGATATTTTGTGAGGGTGCATATCATTGCCGGTACAGAATACGCACCATAAACTGTGACGCCAGAATAGGTAAAACAGCCCACCTGCCCAACCTCAGAGTCAGTTCCCAATTGACCGCAAGAGCCTGTCTGTATGCAATTACCACCGCTAGAAAACATGTATCTGCCAATCACATCAGCGTAGCGCTTTGACTCCTGTCTCGAGAAGAATTAGACTTACAATCCTCCCAAGAAAAGGCCCTGCCCGAGGTTTGTTTCGAATAGACTCGCAAAGAAACCGCTATGATCATGAGAAAAACGCTGATAGCAACAACAACGGCCGTTGTCGCAATGAGATTGGGCGGGTCAACAAAATTCGACATCTGGCCTGGTGGCGGAGGTATACCCGAGAGCTGCTCAAGGAACGAGACTGGTAAGCTCCCAACGAGAGCCGCGGTAGACGCGTTGATTGACATTTTGATCAAGTTGAAGTAGAGCCTCTTTCACCACGGGAATGAAGATAGTAGGTTATCAGTCTGGCCACTAGCTATGGAGAAAGCTGCTGTTCGCTTTTAAACCAGTGACCTTCAAAGCTCAGCAGTTTTCCCGATGGCATGCAGGCTGATGCCAAAGAACCCGGATGCATGACCACTTATCTTTCCAAGTAAGGACGTGCGACTGGCGGAGGCTATGACTTGGGATGTGCGTCTAGGAGTTAGCCCTTCGAACTTTCTACCCTTTTCTGTCATAATTGACGCATCACGATGATTCTGCGGAAAATGATCGGTCCTGCATCAGTGTGTCAAGTCATGCATGGTTCCTGCACCTCGGTCCTCTGGGCATAGTACATGGCAGACTTCGGGGAACCTGCATCAGGGACCAAGCCAAAAGGATATGGACAGTGGGGTCAACAGTCCTCTCAGAGGATCGAAGATCTTGAAACTCATGTCTTGGAGGAACTGTGGTTCCAAGGAAGCGCGGGAGTTATGCTTTCCGTCAGCACCGAAAGCCAAAGCTGCCTTCTAGCTTGATGCCGAGTCTCATTAGCTGAACTGCTTGTAATGAAGAGTGCTTGTTGTGGCCACCAAGTGCAAGCAAAGCTCCGGTGTGAAACCATAGCATGGTCATGAGCCCAAATGGCATCGTGCGTGGTGCTGTCGCGATCCTGGAAAAGAGTATAATGCCTCGCAAACGTGCGAAAGCCATTGCGGCCTTGCTAAAATGCGGTTCCGTGTCACAGCATGTTGCGGAACCGCTACCGTTTGACCAGCACAAGCACGGTAGCAGAGTAGCTTCTACTGGCTAGACTTTGACGCCTATCTTGGTCCCAAAACTGCTGCAGAGGGCCTTTCCTCACGTGCAACGTAAGTATCACAGCATGAAACAATGTACTTTTGCCGGCTGTCAACCATGGCCCTGGACAATGTATCAAGATCGATGGACACCATTTTTGCTCTTGCCAGCGCACACGTCCTTTGTTCTTGTATGACAACAAAACTGCTGGTCCACTGAGCAGGTATGGTGGCGCTCAAGGACCGAGCTTACTGTACCAACTACTAGCGGATTTCATACCGTTTCTGCGGATGCCAAAAACGTCCCAAGTTACTCCGTAAAGAGCGCTTGCTGGTCCTCGTTAAGCCGTCGAAGTTGAATGCAACCTAACGTCTCTCCAACCAGTTGGAAGTCTGCCTGGGAAGGGTCGCATTGCGCACATTGTGACGAGGTGGCGCTTATAATGAATGCTCTCTTGTGCTGAGAAATCTGATCGTCAGCCGACTTCATTGCCGTCGTGGCTGCGGAATACTAAGTCAAAAGTCATCTCGATATCTCCGCCTCCAAACTGATTACCAGAATACTATAGTACTTCATGTTCGCAACATGCTCTGACCAGACTGGCGGCTCCGTTGTCCTTCATCACCGCGTCTCTAAGTCGAACGAAATTTGCGAGGCGGCAGTAGATGAGTATCCCTCTCTTGGTCGTTATTTTCGATGAATCATCTAGGAGTCCTCTGGTGGCCCTTTTTGCTGATAGAGTCATCTATTTCTCCTTCTGCTATCAGTACTGGCCCTCCATTATAAAGTCACGGCCTTCAAGATCGAGCAGAAGAATCGTCGGCATTCCGGACAAATGAACCGATGATTAGTAGAGGTCAGAGAGTAAGTATGGATAAGGCCTGGCTTATAGATCCCAATTACTCCTGCATGAAGTTTTTCGAGGTATCCCTTACATTTTAGTTCGGGATTGGTATCGTTAAGCACAGTGAAGTGACAATTCCACCCAACTCCATGGTCACTTTATTCGGCCTTGCCGCATCATGCGTGGCAACGAAATTTCCTGCACGGGTACTACTACCGGTAAAGGTCACCTTCTTCACGAGTGGATGCTTAACAAGCGCTTCACCTAACGACAGTGTATTCTCCACACTCGTCGTCGGTACATTGCATACACCGTGCTCAAACCCAGCTTTACCGCTAAATGGGCTAGGGTCAAGCATGTCAAAGGCGTCTCTGGGGACGGTTTCACGATCATGGTACATCCGGCTGTAAGGGACTGCTCCGGCTTTGCGCAACACCATCGCGATTAGGAAGTTCCACGGAATGAGAGCAACAGCCAGACCTTTGGACTGCTGGATCACTACTGTGCACCTGTTAGGCGCCGAGGGTGCAAAGACGCTGCTTTGAATGCGCTCGGCTTCGGCCGAGAACCGCCAGGTGAATCCTGTTCCATAACCGATTTCAGATTGAGATTCTGCCGGAAGTTTGCCGGTCTTGTAGGTTAGTATCCTGGCTATGTCATCGCGATGGTAGAGGATGAGTTGGTGCCAGGACATCAATAATAGGGCACGCTTGCGAGGATTTACTATTCTGTAGGTTTCAGAGGCGTGATATGAAGATTGGACGGCAGCAACCACACCTTCAGTGCCATTATCGGGGCACGAAGCGAAAGGAGCGGCTGTGCCCGGATCGAAAGACCCATAAGACGTGGATGTTAGCCAAAACGAGCCTATATGATGACATAGAAGATAGGTGCAACACCATGATCACAACGCACCAATCACTCGAAACCGCTCCCCATTCCTGGCTGTGACCTATTTTCCGTCGGAATAGAAGTTTTGTTGAAGGAGGCTCGAGTCAAATAGCTGAGTAATGGTGACAGCGACACATTTGTGGCTTCTCCTGCTTCCCCCAGAGCTGCGTTGGATTGAAACCGACGAAGCTGCCTACGCTTGCTTTACCTTGCAGAAAATCTCATAATTGGTATGAGCCGGCGTTGCGCCTTTAGCAGCCATAATATGGAGATAAAGAAAGCGGTAGCGAAAACAGAAGACGTGAACAAGGACAGGATCAGCTTAATGCTTTTTTCGATGTGATCCCAAAGAAGATTCGCACTCAACCAAACCTAACACCACAGGGAAAGAACATGTCTGGAAACCAGCAGAAGGATAATGAAGAGAATTGAACTTGGAAAGCCGGCAAGTTCATCTCAGGGTCAAAGTTTGTACAGCTTGTACAGCTTGTAGGATACAAACAGGTGCCACCCGAAGATCATCTTCAAGAAGCTTTCCCGTACCAGAACAACAGGCCATTAAAAGCCATCAGAGGCTCTCCTTCTAGATGAAGCATCATTAGAATAGACATTACTATACTGCTGATCCTGGTCCTTATACAAATCATCCTGATGATCCTCTGCCTCTTGCCAGAGAACCATCAGCGAGAACCGGTCTCGCTGGGTCCCACGGACCAATCACGACGTTCTTGTACCTTTGTAAGCTGATGAGCCACCATGAACACCCTCCCATGACTAGACTAGTGCCCAGACCGCCAATCAGCATACCGAGTATGGACCTTCTAAGTACATGCCAAATCCAACGCCAGCAAACTCCGCAACCGCCGTAGGTGTGTGTGTAACTGGTTGACAGAATAATGCTCATTCCCGCAGAAGAAGCCATGACTAGAAGGACGGTAAGCAGAACATGGCCATTCCAAGACATATGCCGAAGGTGCCTGCGAAAGACTGGAAAGAGGCCGAAAACTTCAATGGAGAAGACAGTGAGCGAGAAGACATGCGTGATGCTGGGTAAGCGGGATGCGAGTACGGTAGACGCCATCAAGGCCGCATTTGTGGAGAGACTCGATGGGAAAGGGGGAGCACTACCTGAGCTCCCGGGAGACGACATCAGGGCAGAATCATTAATAACAGAACCATTTGCTGCCAACTTTTGGCCGGCCACTTGAGACAAACAGGGTTTGGGTGGAACGTAGAGCCCGCCGTAATCGAAGAAGAAGATATTGATGATGAGAAGCCAGGTGGCAAGAGCCCAAATCGAGTCCGAGCTTGTAGAACGTGTGAGGGATTTAAGAATCGGCGATAGGCCGAGGAGGGTAAAGTAGATGAGTAGGGCAGATTTGACAGTTTTTAATCGTGACTGAACACGTGGTGAAAGCGACGGCGAGAGAGTTGTCCCACTAAATGCCGGAGCTTGTGATTGTCGAGATGGCGAGGGCTCCAGTGGTGGAAAAGCATCAGAAGCACTTTCATGCAATGGTGTAATGGGTGAGACTGATTGAAGCGAATTTGCAGAAACTGAATGTGAGTGCATGCTGGCCTTTGATGGCTTCTGGTCATGGCTCTGCATTGTCAGATCTGATGTTGAGAGACTAAGACCCAAACCATGGTCATTTGGCTTCCATGCGATGTGGCCATTTCCAGTCACTGTCGCATGGTTGAAAGAGCCTTCTGAGCTGGTCGTGGAGCAATCCTCAGGACCTTCAACGCATACTTTTCGAGCCAAGTCGTCGGCAGCGACGGCGGCGGCGGCTTCTGCTGCCAACTCTGCCTCCTCTTGTCCCATCCAAAAGTCCCAGAGACTCCATCCAAAAACCGTTGCTAAACTAGCAAGCCCCACGACGGATACAGGAGAGATTCTGTCTTGGTAGATACCAGCGAAGCAGCAGACAAAGATGGCAACCGAACAAACGTGTTGCACGATCACTGTTGAGTCAGCCACTAGAGGCCAAAAATCGTAAGGGCGCAATTTTGGGTTGCGCTGCAAATGGTCAAGGAAGGTCTCAGCATCGGTGTAATTGTCGGGATCTAAAGACCGTCGTCAGTGGAGGAGTTTTTCAGCATTGCACTTCATACATGGCTGGCGAATCCACAGCAGTTTCTTCCAACCTCCGGGCTGACGCCTTTTCCGGCTTGCGCTCCTTCTCTTCTTGTCCTGTTCGAGCCGTGCTGAGGTTGGGATCGCTGGGGGAGGACGTAAGGAGGCGACTGCGGGTCGTAGAGCAGCTGCCGCAGCCGATGCTGCTTGTGAACTATGAAGTGTCCCATTCAAGCTGCTGAGACCCGGTGACTTGCCATCAGGTAGTGGCCTTAACCGAGGTGGAGAATATGTCTTGTAGACATCGTCTGAGGCGGGAAGATCCGATCCTGATGGAGGTCGACCTAGTCCAGGCAGCTTTCGTGCCCCTCGATTGGGATGAGTCTCAACAGGTACTGGCGGCGGAACAGGAGAAACTGCCGCATGGCTTGTGAGAGTAGGAGACGGTGTAGAAGGAGAAGAAGGTGCCGTCATAGCGGCAACATGGTAGACTGTAGATGGTTCATGGTAGCCCCATTAGAGCCATACTTGGACCCTGTACCCCATATGTTCAGAGTGATCAACGCTTATGGTTAATGACAAAATGCGTACTCTCAGGTGGTAAGTACAGAGCCGTGTCCCAAAAATAGTTAAAATAAGCCAAGAGACAGTTTGCCAAGGTGAAGAAATACTTAGTTGTTGAATTGCTGCCAAGCCGCTAGCCTAGCTGTCGTCACATGACCTAGGGCTATGCCGGAACAGGCATAGCGCCACCAGCCACCAGAGTAAGATTACACTTGAACTTCGGACAGGAGTTGGATACAACTTCCATACGAGTTACTAGATCAACCAATTGATCGAGTGCAGACATCCATAGATAGCAGAAGCGGTTTTAGCGTTACTTTCAACAGTAGTAAGTTTATCTCAGACACTTATTCTCCCTAGTAGTCTGGCTGCCGGTGCGCTGCCTCTTCCGGTTTAACCCCACCCGATCAGGCAACGCGCCCTCTCGGCGCTTGGCCCGGGTATAAAAGGCCCACTGCTCTCGCTGTCTCTTTCTTTCTGTCTTCTACTACTCCCTCTTCTCTCGCTTCCCCCCTAGCTGGCCTCCCCTAAATAGATGATTACTATTATAAGATTATTATAAGTAAAGAGAGTCTTTTGGCTAAGAGCTCTACGATAATTAATATTCTTAATAATATACGTCTTGAAACAGTCAGTCTCTGTAGTAGCCAATGAGTGCCTTTCAATTCTATTGCCACAGCCCCCTCCCCGAAAGAAGAGCTGATCTTGATGCTATTCGAACAAAGTCATATGGTTTCTTCAGAGTCGCACGCCTGGTACCCGTATTACCTGATAGTATGTACGGAGTACATGGAACTGATTCAAACATACTTCTCTATCTACCAACCCGACGAAAGCAGGCACTGGATAGGCTTTCAACCAAGTCAGCCAGTGGCTTAGAACAACGCCCCTGTTCGTTGCTTCTCCCCACTCCAGATCATCATTGAAGGATTTTTTGGGTTGCCCATGTATCGGAGATAATGCCCAATGTAATTGCTGCTACTGTCGCTGTCTCTGATCTAGCTTCTTAAAGAAAGGAGAAAAAAGAGAGGTCTCAACTTTGCCCGGGAAAACCATTATACAGGACGTGAGAATAATTAGCCTCAGGATCAATATACGGAAAGACATGATGACCCAAAATACCGCTACTGAAACTTTGCACAAGGCCCCATCCCAAACTTGTCGCCCTCCAAATACGCGTGCTCGATAAGAATGGTAAGCCCGCTTACGCACTTCCCTTCAGGGAGATACCTGCCCTCACTGGACCATATAAAGCAATCCTTGTTATTTCTCATCCCATAGTAGGCACAATTATCACTGGCATAGCAAGCGCCGCAGCACTGTGCCGCGTCCTTCCCAGGGTGACTTCTGTCGAAGACATTATTTGGCTGGCTCCGGATGGCTATTGGACTCAGTGGCAAGAGTGGGAAGTGGGTGGGGCAGATTGTGACGGTGGTGGTGAGGCTGACGGTGGAGGTGACGGTCGGGGTAACAGTGATGGTGGAGGCGGTGAGGGAGAGGCAGGAGCACGCAGATTCAACGCGCAAGGTGGTGGTGCTGCTGCTGGTGCACATGCTGGCGAAACTGGGGAGGGTTTGTTGAGGTGGGGGTGTGGTGAATGCGCTGGTTGGTGTGGTAGTTGGTGTTTCGGATACCGTTATGGTTCGCTTTTCAAAGCCGGTTGGCTCGGTGGCATCACGCTTGGTCACATAGCTGGGGTAGAATGGCATTTGGACATCAAGGGTTGAGGTTGCTGTCGATGTCGCTGTGACTGAGACCACCCTGAGTCAGAGTTTAGTATGTAAGCGATCGCTGCCTCTGAAGATATTGGCCACGTACACGGGAGATTCAGCTGTGGCAGTGACGACTGGAATGTTGAGCAGGCTGCTGCAGTAGGCGGTCTTTATGAGGGCGGATTGAGTGCCACGCAATTGTCCTTTTTGCATCAGTGTCCAATTGCGAACGGTAGGTGAACAATGGACCAACGGAGACAATTATCTGCATGACATCCAGCTCGCTCAAGTAGATTGGGTCCAGCTGCCAGAGCAGCAGAGGAGAGGATGGCAGCTATGGCAGCTGCCAAGAGAGTCTCGGTGAGATGCACCATTTTACCAATGTTCCTCGTGTATCGAGGAGGGAAAAATGCAATTGTGAGTATAGAATAGGGCAGACAGATGATAGCATGAAAGAAGGATTGGAGGATTGAATGATTGAATGGACAGAGGAGGCCATATAGTACTCTTCTACTTGAGGGCATGGCATACATGGAGGAAATGAGTTCCTCGTGTTGGCTCAGCGGCGCCACAAAGAGTCAAAGGACCAGACCGACGCCATGACAGTTCCACTTGCTCCGTCTATCTATGAATTTCAACAGTATACATATTAGGGATCCAGGGGCTGGAAATAAATGACGCTAGGGCACGGGACACTGAAGCCGGAGAGACTATTGACTTCTGCGTGAGGTAGAATGACAGAAGTGGGTGATGGCTTTGACCCTGGAAGCGCCACAGGAAATGTAGGTCCGACGAAAATATTACATAGTTTTTGGATCAGGTTCTGTTGACTTCTAAGCTGTCATTGTTTTATCCCTTTGATGTTGTTCTTGATAGAAATAGCATAATGCTTTTTGATAGTCCCTTTCTTAGCTAACTGCTGCTGGTGCCAACAGTAGTACTTAGCTGTTAGAAAAAAAGAATCTTGATCTTTCTACACGCCCATCCTGTAGTCTTATCAGTGTACGTGGCACCTTAGAGATCAAAGAGGGTCAAGAATAGAGTAGAGAAATAATAAAGACGTAGATAGATCAGATAAAGAGCCATACGTAAAGCTGTATAAAGTAGCTCTGAGCGATAGTTGTTAAGGGAACCTGTTATAAAGGGTGAATATAATAGGCAAAGGCTATCACGTCTTTATAGTTGAGAGGCACTCTATGACTACTAGCGACACCGCTGATAAGGTGTGAGCACAGTGCATTAAGGGGAGCGGTTTCTAGTAGTCGGGAAACGAGGAGCCTAGAAAAGGGAAAGGTAAGAAAGGTAGGGATGTTTTTCAAGGTATGAAATTAGTAAAATTAGACTAGGTGACCAAAAAGGTGGTAGCACGTTACATAACTTACGGTGCACAGACGCCCAAGGCGGCGTCAAAGACTGCCTGAAACAGCACCTTATGTCCCGGAATCTAGAGTGTGAGGTAGTGTTATTCCTAGTACTCCGTACGGAGTATTCCAAGGATTAAAATCTATAGCCAGCCTCCAGACCCCTTACCTCGGCTATAATTACCAGCGGAGCTTTGACCCTCATTTTAGTGCAGCAATTGCCTTAGTCGCCTAACTTAGGAGAAAGGTATGCTTTCAAAAAGAAACCAACTTTACGGAGTACACTGCCCATCATTTCACATTACAACAGCAAAGCTGTCCACAATAAAGATATTCTCTGGCGTTCTTTCTAATCTCTTGTAATTTAACAAACAAACGCTTGAATGTTACCCCATCACCCGCACAGATGCAGTGGATCTGATGACACGAATATCAGATCAACGGCCTCTTCTCAAACTCCCGAATTCTCTATCGATATAGGTTGCAACCAGGCAGCTAGACTGAACGGTGTTGATCTAATCCTCGCGCTGAGTAGAACAAAGCTCTTCCAAGGGCATCGCCAATTCCCGACCAACATCGCTCAATATCGCTTAACACTGGACAGGCAGAGGGGATCCCAATGGCAAATTCCTTGTCGAGATTCAGGGCCGGATCATCCCCTAGTCTGAACTTGGGCTTACTACGTACCATCACCGGCAAGATAGATGCACGCGATCTCGGCTGAGATGAAGGCTAACAGGATTCGACTTACAAAGGGGTAGGCATATACCACCTACTCGAAGAGAGGCTCAGCCTATAGCCGGTAATTTGGTCAATGCCGACGTAATCACGTTTTCACAATCTTCTGGTTAGTAGTGATCAGCGTTAGCGGGTCTTTACTGAGTCCTCTAGGGTCACCACCTTCAGTGCTCAAGTCTCGGCAAGGTCAGGTTTTTCCCTCTCAGACAATGCACACATGGCTCTCTGTCACTTTCTCGCTCGCCACATATGTTCTCTCACTGTGCTCAGCTGTCTTCCTCTTTTCGCTCTCCTCCAAAAACCTTTTGTTCCGTTTGCCACTCAGAATGAATACACCCACTCCGTTTACATTGCCTGCAAGCAAGACGAGTCGCTAGATCAACACAGGCTCGCTTATAGCCTGAAATGGATGATTCAGCCATATAGACACTATTGAAACCATAACTTAGTCAAAGATCTTATTGATATATACGTCTCCACAAACTATTTCCTCTGATTCCGTTCTACTTTCCTCTCTCTGACAGCACAACACACGATCCGCTGTCTATGGCTCTGTTTCTTCGCGATGAATTTGGTTCACGGATATAACCTAAGCATCATTCAACATCTGAAGCCAATCATTCTTAGCCGTGAGAGCGTTGGCGTGATCTGGTCGAATGTTTTGCGCGACCATCTAAGACGAACTTCTGGGAGCATGCCCTACTGTTGGCTTGAAGAGCTGGGAATCTGTGAATTGTCGAACGCTCGAAGCATTTTGGACCATCTGCCAAGCCACTACTTTAAGACAATTACTACTATCGTACCTCCTGGTCTGACTTGCCGTATGGCAATGATCATCTGAGTGGTTGTGAGTCGCGTGGCCTCATGACACTCGCATTCAGGATGTCGATGAACTGTTTTTCAAAAGTCAAAAAGCTCCCGTCTAACACAGCGTTGTTCATAAACAGAATCAATATCTTGATTTCATCCAGACTGTTGTCAATGGCAGGTTTCAACGCTTGCGCATCCGCGTTGCTGACACGAAAAGAACGAGAACGTTCACTCGCACCGAGGTAGAGAGGTTTAGACAGGAGTTCTTTTCTTTAGGTTCCGTACTTACGCTGTGAAAGAAGCATACGTATTATTATCACTGATCCGTTACGCAGGACAGACGAACTCAAGTGAGGCTTAAGCTTTGGAAAGCACCTGGTATGGTTCGCAGGGTATTCTGTACCGAATCTTGACCGCGCCTTCCTACCCAGTTGGGTTAATCATTTTGCCTCCCTTACTCAGGAATTCAAGTTTCCGACTCGGCCTCTGATCAGGCCGCACCACCACTGCTCCCTCTGCTCACTCTCTTGCTCATCTTCTATCCTGGTGCTGCGCAGAGACCTCAGTCCCACTTCACCTAAACTTAGTCCTGCTTCTGACCTCTTATCATTGTTAGCGAACCATTCCTGGCCTGCATCTGTTTCCCTTCTAATTTTATTAATTATATACATGTTAGGCATCTAATAAGGCTTCAATGAATAATTTAACCCTGTCTAGGGGTAGTCTTGCTCTGCTCCGAAAGGCCAACATTCAATCATTTCTTTAGATTAAGAAGCCCCATTTCCCCACAAGTCAAGTTGATCAGCAAAATGCCAAGATTCTTAAGTGACAACTTCAAGTTGGAGGTGAGACTCTGCATCGGGACGCAACGTCCATGAGGACATGTGTAGCTAGGGGCAGATCGTAGATAAAGGTAATATGTACTTTGGTCAGACTGTGCTAGGGTGAGAGCCGCGGAGACTGGCGTAGTGAGCAGCAATATTGACAATGCAAGAGGCATGGGTGACTCTTGACAACAGTGCCGAATAATAGTGAATGGAAGTAGAATAGAAGTGAGAAACAGGGTTTCTTACACGCTGCGTTTTGTTCTTGATCATTGTCTAACTTAAAACATTTTCTCACCTCACCCACCCATGGCACAGATATATTTTAAATATTACTTAAAATGGAATAAGATAGTGTGATGGTGCAATTCCAGTTTCACCGTTACCCTTTCTAACCTTCCGCCACCTTCCTGAAACATCAGAGACAGCCATGATCTCGCCTTTTGTGAAACTGATTTCATCGGCCTTGTCAGGATTGGCATCATAGGAGTAAATTGCCTTCGCGAGATAGGGATAATCTCTGTCAGTCTCTGCATCCCTTATCATTCTTCCAGCGACAGCTTTATCCTCCATCTCTTCAATATCTAGATAAGAGGAACGAACCATCCCTATTTCCCCATTCTCTCTCTTCGCTTCCCACCAACTTGACTGGGTGCGGTTTGTCGCAATTGCCAAGATCTCAGATTTGACAAAGCTAATCTCTCGTGGATGGCTGGGATCTGCGCGGTATGACATCTTTGCTTTTGCCAGATAGGGATATCTTGAAGTTCGTACAGCGGGGGACCCTTCAGGCTTATCTTTTGATAAAGGTTCCGCATTTACTGATTCTCGGGCGGGAGAGTCATCGTCGAAACTGCTCGTAGGAAGCGCAAAGAGTGCCACGTCCTCCATGTGCCTGCCAATGTGCTTCTCGAGCTTCTTGATTCCAGTTACCTCCGCAAGGCACAACGGGCACCTTGTCTTCGAGGCTACATCTATCGGGCCTTCACACATCTCGGCCAATGCAGGGAGCTGGTTTTCAGCAATGTGTCTAGATTTCCGCACATGCTCGCGGAATGAGGTTCCGCTAGAGAATTTTTGGTCGCAATGACCATAGCACGTCCATAAACGCCTGTGGAATCTGAGCTCATGGGCGAACCACCGATGCCGACTCTCGAATGTCTCTTCCTCTTTATCGCATTCTTCGAAGGTACATATATACGGCTGCAGATCCGAGAATACGTGTTTCATCCAGGAATGCGTTGTCCTGGTCGTCTCGAACTGCACGATTTTTCGGCAAAGTGGACACTCGAATGCTTGTCCGATGGAGGCTTCCTTCGGCATACGAGGCAAGCGTAGCCGTTCAGAGTCTCCGAGTATTGTTGTATAAGTCGTTTCAGACATTGTATCAGCAATGTTGCTGATGTCGGCAGATTCTGCTTCTCGGCGCGTAATTTCTGGTGTGGCCAATGGATCTATAAATGTAGATGCGGTAGTCTCGCTTAAAGCTATGTTTATGTCTTTGTGTTCTGGGAGACCTTGGGCCAGCTTAGCCGCGTGATGCTCTCGGTATTTTAGATATTGCCTGCGTTTCGAAATAGCTTTCCCCATCCGCGAACATAGTTGGTTCTTTGCCTCAGGAAACTTTTCTCGAACATATTCGGTATCGAACGGTAAGAACGAGGAGGTGTCGAAAGCTGCAGCCTTCGCATATCTATTAACTGATGAGTGAGCGCGAAGACTTATCGAAATCCTGTACAGGCAATCGACAATCTGTGCTATGTCGATCGTGATCAAGTCGAGCTCCGGAGCATCGCTGAGGTAGCTACCAATCGCTTGCGGGATGGATTCAGAGTCATCATCCGTTGGTATGTCATGTTCATGTGGTTTTCTCATCCCAGACACGATGGAAATAGCTAGATCATGGTCAGAGCAAGCCAGAAATCCTCAAAGCGCAAAGAATCTCCTCTTTGGGATCATGCCATGGCGCGAAGCGAGTTGCTACTTCATTGTTGCACCAATATCGACTTTTGTGCTCAGTCCTTGCTCGGATGTAATGGTTCCAAGTGCACAACAATAGAAGAACGGTCTTTTACCTTCTAATAGCAGATTTCGGAGATCATAGAGAAACCGAATTACAGCAGCTTTCATGGAACTGGACTCTCTCAGGCGGTAATCCAAAGAGCCTTTGCCTCTTTGATGGGCTCCGCAATTCCCAACCCAGACATTAAATCGGCCTCTGCTATCAAGTAAACGCCTCTGGAGACGAGAGTCGCTGTTGTGTTGTTGAGACTCCCGGACACGTTCTGACAATTTTAGAAAGTTTGTGTAGCATTCTGTGGAGATCATAGCTATGGACACCTGCTGCTCCATTATCCTCGGTGCGTTAGGCAAGCATGAGTGTGCAGTGGAATGAAACTTATCTTCAAGCTCCAAACCTGAGGAGCCTTGGCGGCGCTAGTGAGTTGGGTACATACTAGTACTACTAGTAGTAAGTTACTCCGTATTTACTGAGAAATCGGCGAACATTTCCGTTGAGACGAGTTCTTCGGTCTGCAAGTTGAAGCTTTTATTTTATTGTTGTGCTTCGTGTTGCCCATTCGCTGTTGAAAATTCTAAGAAATCCACTTAGCAATGTCAGGCATGGAAATCGCAGGTCTCGTTTTGGCTTCCATTCCCCTGGTCGTTACAGCCTTGGAACACTACAGTGATGGCATGAGTACTTTCGAAAGGTGGTGGAGATACAAAAGGGAGGTCAACAGGGTTGTAAGGCTTCTTGTTGCCGAGCAGGCTCTCTTTCAAGGCACATGTGAGAAACTGTTGAACGCTGTAGTTACGCCGACCGAGCTGGAACGTTTGATAGAGCTTCCTGGGGGCGCGCAATGGAAGGACTCTAACCTGGATGAAAGTCTTCGTCGGCACCTCGGACGTTCTTATGACTCTTATATGTCATGCGTCGAAGATATGGACGCTGCGTTGAAAGATTTGGAAGCTAGACTTGAACTCGACGTGAATGGAAAGGTTGGTATCTTAACATCCCCTACTAAGTGCCGCCCTCTTAATAAATTACGTTAGCCTACGTGGGTCGATGACTCGTCATTCAAAAGCCAAATGAAAAGAATTCAAATCATTTTCTCTCGTGGCGTTTATCAGGAAGCTCTCAAACGCCTGGAGAAAAACAACAGCATCCTTGCGGGTCTTACAGCACAGAATCTTGAGTTGGAACCAATCAGGAGACGGCGTCAAATGCCAATTACTAAGCTGAAGTATTATCAGCAGCATCTAGTGAACCTATACAACGCTATCCGCCCATGCTGGATCTGTGGATGTCCTACGCAGCACTATACGCTTTTACGCCTCGATGCCCGCCTGTATGAGCCAGCCACGCAAGATAAAGAGACCATGCCCAAGGCAACAGTTTCGAAAGATGAGCTTTACTTCAGTGTAGTATTTTCTACCGATGATGAGAACACCCCAGTAACAACCCGATGGTCATGGCAGGAAACGTGCATCCGACCGATACTTCAGGGAACAGAACAGTGTAATATGTCGAAACGAGAGCCCAAAGCCAAGGTCTCTGGCGCCAGACACCAGCAGCCTAATGCTGAGCAGTGAAAGAGGTCGAAAGTGCGTTCCCTTTTCTCTCTAAAAGCCAACGGTCATAGGAAGAATCTGGAGGCTGTACCGTCAGCTACTAGAAAAGGCGTTAAATTTGCGGATGAAGCTTCAGAGCCGTCGGTCACATGCACATCTGTCCTCACTCCTAACGCTGTCCCTGCCATACAGCTCCCGCCTAGGATTTACAACCTCTGTGAAGCTCTACAAGCGTACCAGGCGGCGGGTATCAGTACGTCTAACGACAATTACATTGGATACTTGCAATGTCAGAAGCAGAACGATTTAGAAGTCCGCGCAACTCGCCGCATTATTGTGAAGGATGCCCGGCATCGACAAGACGTTGCGAGTCTAAAACAACTGGTTCCAAAACGTGACAATTTCGCTTTCCTAGTTCTCAGCCGAGCTGAGCGTCTCTTCCTGGCGGTGACAGTTGCGTCAGCTGTGCTCCAGCTCCATCATACCCCATGGCTGCGAGAGAGATGGAACCTCGACGATATTCTCGTCCATGTTAATAATGCAGATGACCTTGGACGCCGGATATATTTGTCGAAGGCCTTTCCGGAGCCCCTCGATCCTCGGATCACCAAAGAGAATGAAAATCATCCTGGGTATTGCGCTTATTGAGCTATGCCTGGGCCAGACGCTAGAGTCCATGAGGACTGACGAAGACCCTTTGGACAGCATGGGAAGGGTTAACATAGTGACAGAGTGGGCTACAGCGAAGCGAATGATGTCCAAGGTTGTAGCAGAGGCCGGAAACCGGTACGGCGATGCAGTGAGGCGGTGCATATACTGTGAGTTCGATTCACGAGATACCAACTTGAACAATGAAAGGTTCAGAGAGGCAGTCCATCAAGGAGTCGTTGCACCGCTTGGGGAAGTATTCAGCGACTTTAATCAGCCCTACGAGATAGTTGGGCGGGCATTTTGATGAAGTTTTCAATGACTCTATGGTCCGTGGCCTCTTCGACAAGCGTTGCTCATTAAAGCCTCTGGCCAGGGTTGAGTGTACAAGAATGCTCTTTGGGAGTTCACGCGAACTGTCACCACAAAGTCGTCAAAATCCATCGAGTATTTGTCAAAGGCGGCCTTCAGAACTTCTAGCGGTTCCACCCGTCAGGAGACATAGTCGTTGTCATCGTTAACAAGTCGCATCAGTTCTGGTCATCCACAGTCTCGCCACATCTTCCGCAGCGGACCTCATTGGCCGCGACTAGCCATCCTCCCTAACCATCCACGCTCTTAGTTTAGCCTTTCCAGGCCAAGATAAACTTGATTACACGCATCTAATCTATGGCATTTCTCTACGTCACAAGCGTAAGCGGCAAGGTCGGAATGATCAGCCAACCCCTTGACCGCGGTGCTGATATTTGCGCAAAGTTACGTCCCACCTTCTTTGACCAGTTTTTGCATGTCATCGACCCTCGAAAGTATATAGAACCAAGGAACCCCAATCTTGCTCGCCCTTGCCTGCTTCTCCGGCTGCGTCAAGGCCCTAGAAGATGCGAGCATCCTCTCCAACGAATCATCCAAGCGCCCACGGACTCTCGGAACAACTATAACATTGCTTTAGGATCACCAGGATGGTGACCCCAGTCCCTCTGCGACTGTAAAGTGCGTTGTCTTCCTCCAATTCAAGAGCGACATGGAGAAGCGCTATTGGGAAAGAATTAATGAACGTATAGGCGCAGACCCATCAGATGAGGGCATTTAGGTGCAGAAAGGCCACCCAGAAGGGAAGGACGCAAGAGGAAGAGGGCAGGCCCAGGTTGACCAGATAGTATGTCATGGACGCAAATCGCACTAAGGATTGTGAACATTTCTGCTTTACATACGGAGTACTTATGGTGTGACCTACGAAGTCTTGGCCCCCTGCAACATTCAGTGTCCAGTTTTACGGTGTATTCTAGCTCCAAGCGATTAGCTTAAAGCTGTCTTCCATGAACTGCGTTGGGGACAACTACAGTAACTTAGGGGGGAAGCATCTCAGGCTAAGCTGCCCAGATCCACCTCGGCGCCCGACACTTCAAGTTGTTTGAAGCCAGGGCCCGGAGGCCCGATGGCAGGTGCCGGAAATAATGATAGTTCTCGCATAATCACAAATTGAGAACAAGATTAAAGTATTAATAAATATCTAAATATAAATGACATAAAAACCAAACCTTATATAGTTAATCCTATAATATTATTAAGTATATTTATTTTAAAAAAAGTTAATTTTTTACCTCTCTTATTATATAATAACTAAAATAAATAAAGAAATTAAATTTTTAAGATATTATGTTTAAATCTATAATATTCTATAAATAAAGATATATACTTTATACAAAAGATTAAGTTTTAGTTTAAAGATATTATATTTTTCATTTATATAGTTTTTCTGATATTTTAAAAGTGTTTTAATTATATAAATTTATTTTTATTTATATAATTTAAAGTATTAAAAAGTAAAGAAAATAGAGATCTTAAGATAATTAACTCAAAAAAATAAATATTAAGAAAATAAATAAATCACGTTTTATATATCTTATAATGTTTAATATTTTTTATAAATTTATTTAAATATTTCTAAGTATTTATAGTATTTATTTACTTATATAATATCAGGAGAGCTATGGTTAGGCCTAATATACAAGACAAAGCGTGAAGAAAAGGAAACGAAAGTGGGAACACAACGCTCTATATACATGTCCGTGCCCCTTATCTCGCTGAGGCCAGGTACAGACAACTGTGGGTACCTGTCGTCAGTGATGGCTAGAATAGCGGCGGGGAGCTGGGTCCGAGATGAGCTCTGTGAGCCATGGTCAGTGCCACAGGGAATATGGTCCTTGGCGTAGATCGCGGGAGGATTCGTAACATCACCCCCTCTCTATGCGCGAGCTCCTGCGAGCGTAGGTCCTTGTGGTGCTGTGGTGGGGCACTTGTGAATCTTCTTAAGCATTTCTGGGTGACTATAGACATCTGTGGGCATTCATGACTAGCTATGGTTTCTTGACTTACTGCGGGCGCCCCCTTAAGAGGCCGGGTATTCAGGGCAATGTGGGGCATGACTGTGACGTTCATAGAATTCTCGTACAATCTCAGGGGCGTGGAGGAGGTGAGCTGCGGGCTCTTAGGTCGTTTCGTTATAGCCGGTCTATTTGACTCTGAACTAGAATAGTCTTCTTCCGAAAGCTCTTCTTGCTTTTAGAATAGTTTCGACTTCCTATTCTGTTTTATTAGATATGTTATTATCTATTATAGGTCTTAAGGGAACGTCTATATAACATAGTCTTAATAAGGCAACATAGAAAATAAGGAATATTCTTAAGGATAAGAGCAGGGCTAATTCGCAGGCTATAAATCCTATAGTTCATTTAATCTTAAATAGGCTAATCTATTTGTTATTAAGTTTCTTATATAGTCATTATATATAGATGTTTCTAGCGTTCAGTTTACACGACGCTCTTCCGATCTTTATCTCTAGTTTTTATTTATTATATTTATAGTTTTTGCTTAGCTTTAAACTAGTTCTATATAATAATAGTCTAAGAGTTCTTTTATAAATATTAAGATATCTTCTGTACAAGGGTTAAAGAGGGTCTTAGCTTAATTAAAGCTTATTCTAGGATTAAAGCCTTTATTAGTAAAGAATAAGGACATGCCTATAAATTCTGACTTATAATTATTTATAGTAAATTTAGCTAATATAATTTATTTAGCCTAGTTGTCTTATATATAGTTAATATAATTTTATAAGTAAGTCTTTATTACTTAATTAATTTATTCTAATTATTCGTTTATTTCTGAGTAATATATAATAGATAATTTCGCTTTAATACTTAGCCTTTTATATAAGCTATTTCAGAATTCACTAACAAACTGTAGACCTTTATCAAATATTATTAATTTAAGGAAGCTATAGTTATAAATAACAAAGTAAATAAATATTCTAATTAGATGTTTTATTTTTATGCTATAGTAGGGCGCTAAGTGTCTCTCCTTAGTTAATTAGTTTGTTAAGACTTAAATACTTATAGCGCTAAGGAAAATGCTGTTAGATTCAGGGAAGTCTATAACGAAATCTATAGCTAGGTGTTGCCACTATTTCTTAGGCAGCTCTAGTGCTTGCAATTAATCTTAGCGCTTGTAAGAGAGTTTTGTGCGATAGCATATAGGACATTTAGCTAGCTATTCCTTTACTAAGTTTATTATCTTTAATTAATAGAATTATTATTACAGAATCTTATAAGTCTTTATAAGGCTTAAGTGATTAGTTATTAACTATTTATAATATTTATTAATATAGCAGAGTCTTAGTTCTTTGTTTTTAGGAATCTATAGGCATTATTAGTAATATAGTTTATTATTCTTTACTGAACAGTTAACTAATGTGACTATAAGAGATCTTTTAACCCCGGACGACAAGGATCTTCTCGGGCAAGATTCTGGTATGCGGCAGTGATATCTTCTTCTAGGATGGTTCGGGGCTGTGGGTTTGTTGTGCGCAGGGCTGTGGTGTTATCTGTGATTGCGTCAGGGCTTTCTCCTAACTCAGGTAATCTCTCGTGGCGGCGTAGGACTCTTGTAGGTCTAATTGGACAGACAGGAATAGGTTCTGATATTTAGGGGTCTAGATTCTTTGGTTTCAGGACTACTTGCTTAAGAAACTTCTTTCTATTATTATTAGCGTTAATAGCTTTATCTTGTAATCTGCAGGATAATTCATCTGCGTAGCACTATAACCTAGGGCGGTACTTAATCACAAAGTTGAAACAAGAGAAGAACTTGCTCTAACAGGCTTGTTAGTAAGATAATTATTTAGACGATATAAAGAGGCCGGGTATTCAGGGCAATGTGGGGCATGACTGTGACGTTCATAGAATTCTCGTACAATCTCAGGGGCGTGGAGGAGGTGAGCTGCGGGCTCTTAGGTCGTTTCGTTATAGCCGGTCTATTTGACTCTGAACTAGAATAGTCTTCTTCCGAAAGCTCTTCTTGCTTTTAGAATAGTTTCGACTTCCTATTCTGTTTTATTAGATATGTTATTATCTATTATAGGTCTTAAGGGAACGTCTATATAACATAGTCTTAATAAGGCAACATAGAAAATAAGGAATATTCTTAAGGATAAGAGCAGGGCTAATTCGCAGGCTATAAATCCTATAGTTCATTTAATCTTAAATAGGCTAATCTATTTGTTATTAAGTTTCTTATATAGTCATTATATATAGATGTTTCTAGCGTTCAGTTATACTTTATCTCCTTTATAGTATACTAAGGCAGAGTGTTATCTTTGGTTTTTGTTTATTATATCTATAGTTTTCGCTTAGCTCTAAACTAGTTCTATATAATAATAGTCTAAGAGTTCTTTTATAAATATTAAGATATCTTCTGTACAAGGGTTAAAGAGGGTCTTAGCTTAATTAAAGCTTATTCTAGGATTAAAGCCTTTATTAGTAAAGAATAAGGACATGCCTATAAATTCTGACTTATAATTATTTATAGTAAATTTAGCTAATATAATTTATTTAGCCTAGTTGTCTTATATATAGTTAATATAATTTTATAAGTAAGTCTTTATTACTTAATTAATTTATTCTAATTATTCGTTTATTTCTGAGTAATATATAATAGATAATTTCGCTTTAATACTTAGCCTTTTATATAAGCTATTTCAGAATTCACTAACAAACTGTAGACCTTTATCAAATATTATTAATTTAAGGAAGCTATAGTTATAAATAACAAAGTAAATAAATATTCTAATTAGATGTTTTATTTTTATGCTATAGTAGGGCGCTAAGTGTCTCTCCTTAGTTAATTAGTTTGTTAAGACTTAAATACTTATAGCGCTAAGGAAAATGCTGTTAGATTCAGGGAAGTCTATAACGAAATCTATAGCTAGGTGTTGCCACTATTTCTTAGGCAGCTCTAGTGCTTGCAATTAAT